CGAGAGCCAGCTTGGTTTTGTCACATACGACCTGTGAATAAGCTCCTCTCTTTTTCTTTTTCATTGCCTTTTCACTAGGCAAAATAGATCCAGCTCCCCTGGTTCTATTGTTACGAATCGTACCTAAACCAAATACGCCATAATTTTCTTTTAAAATATAAAATAACTCAGGCGATGAAAAAAAATTGTCACAAAATATGGTGGCTGGCTTTCTTTGAATAGATTGACACAGAGCTATTACAATTTGTGCCCCAAACCCAATTGAAATTTCTTGTTCAGTGAATTTATGAAAATGGAATGTATCTTCTCCTCCATATAGGATAAAGTCATAAATCATGCCACTTACTCCAGCTCGCACGTAATTTTTGAATCCCCACTTGTTGGGTTTATCTTTCATGTACTGCTTTCTGTTGCCTGCCTTTCTTCCTTTATAAACAATCATCATCTCATCTATACTAAATTTGTTTTCATTTTGTTGCAGCAAACAGTTTTTTCTTATTTTTTTTTGCTATTGGTCTTACTTTGTAATATCTATCAGTATATTATTTAATAAGCTGCCTAAGGAATTAAAGTCACTGAATGATTTAAATATCTTCAGGACAAAATTGAAGTCATTACTGCTAGAAAGGTGTCTGTACTCAATTGACGAATTCTAATTATAGTAAATTTGAATATATACCTATATTGTTTATGTTAAGAGATGACTAAGTGACTATAATATTTGTTTTATGCTTTATTTATTTATTTTATTTTATTTATGCTTTATTGACCACATTACAAAAAAAAAATGTCTGGTACAAAAGGCGGACTTAATACTATATAGCATTCTCTCCCAGTCAACCTTTGGCTAAACAGAAATTTTAATATGCGGTGAAAAAAAAATTACAACACATACAATAGAGATTATATAAATATACATACATGAATACATTAAACAAATATTACATAAATATACAAATATGTAATAAAAATACATATATACAAATATAAATATACATATATAAATATACCTACTTATAGATTATATACGATAACACAAATAAACAACGATAGAGATCAAAGTGATGATGATGAAGGTGAACTGCTTTCACAGTTTTTTCCAAAGATATTCGTAGACTTTTCTCTTAAAAATAAATTTGTTAGAAATTTGTCTTATGTCCATGGGTAGCGCATTCCAGAGTCGTGAGGCCTCAAGAGTAAAGGAATTGGAAACAAAAGCAGAACGATGTAGAGGAATAGAGAGAACAAGAGAGTCGTTAGAACGAAGTTCGCGTGTATGAGAATCACAGAGATATTTGAATCTACATTTCAAGTATTCTGGTGATAAGGGACTAATAAGAAGAGAGAAAATGTTGCAAAGCAACCTCAACTGTCTGCGTTGGCGTATAGGGAGCCATTTTAACTGAGATCTGTACGAAGATATGTGATCATATTTACGCAGACAGAAGATGAAACGAATAGAACTATTGATTAGACGATCTAATTTATTAAGAAGATCTTCGTTAAGATCAGGATAACACACATCAGCATAATCAATAATGGGGAGAATAAGTGTTTGAATAAGTGTAATTTTAGTTTTAATAGGAAAAAAGTGCTTAAAACGGTTAATGTACTGAAGTGTGGCTACGACTGAACGACTAATCTCAGCAATTTGTTTGGTCCAGCTCAATTTCGAATCAATATAAAGGCCAAGATTTTTAACGCTCGTACAGTAAGTAATAATCGAATTATTGTATGTTACAGGTAAGAGAGAGTTATAATTGATCTTTTCCAACTGTCTCGAGCTACCAACGATTATTGCTTGGCACTTTCTTGGATTTACTGGGATGCCAAATTCATGAGACCAAACACTGATTTTTTGTAGTTCATCGTTCAACTGTGCAACAGCTGAATTTATATCTTCGACAGTTGTCTGTACATACATTTGTAAATCATCTGCATATAGATGGTAAGAACAATCAATTATCGTGGAAAGCAGATTAATAAATATTGAAAACATTAAAGGGGATAAGATGCCACCTTGAGGAACACCTGATGAAAGACCTTTCCAGTCAGACAACTCACGATCTATACGGACAGTTTGTTGTCGTCCACGAAGATAAGACGTGAACCAGTCCAAGGCAGAAGGCGAAAAATTATGATGATTAAGGATCGCAAGTAAGATATCGTGATCTACCATGTTAAAAGCATTGGAAAAGTCTATTAAAATAAGAATGGTGACCAACCTATTCTCCATGCCTGAACGGATATCTTCAGTAACTTTGAGTAGGGCAGTAGTAGTACTATGTCCAGGGCGAAAACCGGATTGAAAAGGAGTAAGGATATTATTTGCAAAGATAAAGGAGGATACTTGCTTATGTGCCACAGCTTCAAGGACTTTGGAAAGGAAAGGTAGAATTGAAATCGGTCTAAATTGACTTAACTGTTGTGGTGTGGAAACTTTAGGAAGAGGTATGACAAAAGCTTTTCGCCAAAGATGAGGGAAACTCCCTGAAGAAAAGGAAAAATTGATAATGTGGGTTATGGCAGGGAGAATTACGTCAAGGATATCAGTGACCATTTGCCAGCTTACATTATCACAGCCAACAGCCTTGGACTTGATTGATGAGGTAATTTTACGAATCTCATCTTCAGATACAGATGAAAAGGAAAAAGAATTTTTATTAATAATGGGTAAAGACGTAATTTTAGTGATTGTGGCTGATTTAACAGAGGGATTAAAAACACTGGTTGAGGAAAAGTGATCATTAAATTCATCAGGTGTAAATAAGGGCACGTGAGACGAAACAGGACATTTGCCTATGCCAAGAGATCGAAGAAACTTCCAAATATCAGCCGTGGAGGAATTTGTAACACTGTCGTGAAAATAATTTTGTTTGGCTGTTCTTACCATTCGATTACAGAGATTACGCGCTTTTTTGTAAGTGTCCCAATTCACGTCACATCTATTACGCTTAAAAGTACGAAAAGCCTTATCACGGCGAGTCATCGCCATGCGGACTCCCTTACTGATCCACGGTGCTGGTGGTCGTTTTATTCTTACTGGTTTGAGTGGGGCGTGGGCATCATACAATTTCAGAATAGCTTTATTTAATTCTGAGATTTTCACATCTACTGTACTTGCCGTAAACATGGGGGTAAAGTCAATGTTGCTAGCATCTTCTTTTAACTTATCGCGGTCTATACTAATGTAGCTGCGTATCCACATTGTTGCAGGCTTGGCTCTAGGTGGTTTTAGCTTATACAAAATATATATAAGGTCATGTCGTGAAAATCCGGGTGCTGGTAATTGACCAAATTTTATGACCTTATCAGTAGAAGATGTTAAAATTAAGTCAAGCCAAGTATCTTGTGACGACAAGTTACAATGAGTAGGCCCAAGAGGCAGAATAGATAAATTTACTGACTTAGTTATATTAAAGAGTTTTTGAGACTGACTTGTATTTTTCATAAGATCAGTGTTAAAGTCACCCATGATTATGTGATGTGTGTAATCCGAACAGAAAGATTCTAAGACAGACTCGAGTTGAGTGTAGAAATCAATGGAAGGAGGACAATAAACGACTCCAAGAATGGCTTTGGTACCTTTAACTGAGATTTCTAAAAAGATGTATTCTGCGGAGCCCGAATAAAGCGAAGGTGATAATGCAACAACTTTATATGGAATATAACTACGCAGATAAATTGCTACACCTCCACCCGCCTTACCAGTGCGATCATTACGTATCAATATGTATCCCGGAAGGGCATAAGACACAGAGGATAGAGATGGCTTAAACCAGCTTTCAGAAATAAGGACAGAATCAAAAGCGGAAGAGGTGAAAGTATCCAAGAAATCAGAGAAATGCGCTGGTACACTTTGTGCATTTATGTGGCAGGAGTTGAAGGAGTGAATAGACGCATCAGTAATAGTCTTTAATGAGTTGCCTAATGTTTCAGGTTCCTGAAAACTATCATTGCTATTGCTATCACTAGAGAAAAGATTAAACTCACGTGCAGAATAATATAAATCATCATCTGACATAATAATAAATATACGTAAATATAAGTATAATAATTAGAATAAAATATAATATAAATTAATTAATTTGATACTGTAACAAAATTATAATAAATATCTAGTTTATACGTAAACGATTGCTAATCCTGCTGGTTGACAGAAAGAGAACAAGAAACAACTTGAAAAAACAAAACGCAAATACAAAAAGGCAGGAATCCAAAGCTAAAAAAAATATATAAGAATAATAACTACCCTCTAATAAATTATTGATATTTGATATTGTGAACGATTGATACCGTCAGTACAAGTAATATAAAAATTAAAATGCAGTATAGTCGTACAATGAAATAAAAATACTTCAGTGTAGAAAAATTTAGTAAAAAGAGTAATAAAGAATTCTCTGCCAATTAGTAAACTTAAGGATAGATATAAATATTAATATACATGAGTACACAAAGCAGTGGGGATGGTTATTACAATTAAAAGTTTGTTTACTTCTTTCCCCTGGCCGTCCGCTTCGATTTTGTGTGCTGAGCGGGGGATGACGATGCTACTCCAGAGGCAGAAGATGGGATTGCCTGCGTATCATCTTCTGATTTAGCCAACTCGGCCAAATCCTGTTCGGAGTACAGTATGCTTGATTTAATTTATATTTTATATAGTGTATGAAATTATTGTATCTACTATAACATTCAAATACAAATTTTTGTTTATGAATAAATAAAATAAATAAAAAAAATAAAATATCTTCTAAGCTATTATCAGCAAAGTGTAGAAATCTACGAATCTGTTGATAGCGTTTTAAACTCATTAGATCTGCTATCGGAGCATACCGGAATCTACTGCTCCAATAGTCTAGGCATTGAGACAATACCCATAAGTATATGGATAGCTATAAAATCACGCATTTCGTCTTCTGTCACTTGAATAGATTTGCCAGTTTTTTGAACAGAGTATAGATTTGACTGTACGGTAATATCGGTCACAAAATCTGAAGAAAAAAAAAATTAAAATATTCTAGGGAATCTGCAGTGGGCAGGAAAGAGGCATTCATTATATTATGGTCTTGGTTTTCTTCAATTGTAGCTTGGTGACGGAAGGTGACTTTTTTTTCCATTTATAGGTTAGTACAAATTTCGGGACTTTCTTTCGTCTTTTAGCCAGCACTGGAGTAATGTGCCTTTGGGCTCGAGTTTTCCTGGTAGCACTTTCAGGAGTTGATAAAGGGCCTTCAGACGGAAGAGATGGTATAGAAGATAAGGAAGGTATGTTCTCGTAGTTCGGTTCTCTAGTCGGCGTAGCTGGGCAAATTTGACGTAGAACTGGAGTCAATTGCAATGATGTTTCTGTAAAATCAAATTCAGGTGGATCGTCCCCAGTGTCATGATCTTCAGCATCAGGTTCAGAACTGCTTAAAATATGCATTCGCTCTAAAGATGAATCTAGAGATGGTGATGATGATGAAGCTAAACTTGGAGTATGCAGATCTGCCAATTCATTGTCCATGTCGGACCTATCACTGGTATCTGAGGGAGCATGCTGTATAGGCACAAGCGCCAATATTTTTGCCGTGCGTCCATGCAAAGTATGCTGTTGGCAACAGAAAATACCGAAATAAGCAAAATAAAACCCATAACTTCAAAATGTTAAAAAAAAAGACATAACTATTTTGGATTAATTTATCATTAGGTATTTGGCATCGTTTACCGTGATGAACATAACAAATTGTAGGTACTTTATAGGTTATTTGGCAATGTTCATCATAATAAACATAAGCTTTTGGCGGGTCATAAAACTTGAGGATTCACATAAAGGCACATAATTCACACACCAAAATATAACAAATAGTCTAGATAAGTTAGTGAAAGCATTAAAATACTTGAAACAATAGAAAATAAAGTAAAATCTTTATATTTACCTTGCGGAACATAGACGACCTGCGAGGCGCCGACATTTTGCTTTGACAATGACAAGTAAAAGTGTTGCCAGGTGCGTAGATTATTTTTTTACTATTAAAAAATATTATATACGGTATGATAATATTACAAAAAATACGAATTTGGTGTAAAAATATAACGAAATCATTTTTTTTCTCATATGTTTCTCACAGTGAACAAAATCAAATTAAGGGCTAAGCAAAAAATTAAGATATAGAATGGTATAGAGTGTCTAGTAGGGTGCGTTGTTGAACAGTGAACCAACCTTTTTTCTAAGTCATATAACTTGTTAGAAATTAAAGTTAAGAATTTCGTTTTGGTGTCATGATTTAGGCAATTTTATACAGTTTCTCATATTCAAGTTACAGAAACCCAGAGAAACGAATAAAGACCGTAAATGAAGTTTAAAAAAAAATAAAGAATTGGCTCACTGTGTACTATAGGTAGTATACACTGAACCACCTGTATTTCAACAGTGAACCACAATTTCGTTACCAGTAAAAATCCTTAAAATTTTTGATTTTGTCTTTTATTTTTGTTGTACAAAATACAATAAAAAAATATTACTTCTAATAACAAAAAATTTTGGTTTTCAGTGCTTTCTCTATGGTAATAATAATAATAATAAAATCAGTCTTCATTTAATTACCTACCAGTTGAAGCAAGAACTGGGTAAACAAAAAATAAACATAACATATCAATTATAATGGTTTCGTATAGTTTTCTTTACAGCAGTTAACTTCTTAATAATGCTAAGTTATCATATAAACCTCTGGATAAAATTAACAATCAGCCTTCTTCAAATAGTATAATTAACAGTCTTCATTAATTTACTGACTAAATAAAGAATCACGAAAAAAATACATCAAAATGCGTCAAAGTAAATATTTACGCCATATTTAGTAAAGATAAGTTTATATTGAAGGAATATTTAATTAGACGTTTTGTACCGGACACACAAGGAGGAGGGAGAATCATTTTAATGTCACTGAGTTTCATATTAGCCATATCGGGTTCTTGAGGAAACATAAAGGTTTTATTCAGACGATCTTTTAATTTTAGGTACGAAACGCAATATTTATCGTCAGTTTCTATTTCCAGAATCTTTGCAACGTAATAAACAGTCCGTTTTTTAGATTGCAGCAAGACTAGGACGTATTCGTTAATAATTGGTTTACGCTGTAAATAAGGAAAATTTTCATCAATAATTTATATACATATTCTTGGTCACTTCCTCATCCGATTCTAGGTCCGTTTCACTTTCAAGAATTATATCTTCACCTTCACTGGTTTCACTGTCTTCATCTGGTATAACTATTTACTGGTTTATGCCGCCGTCCTAATGGAGCTACCATTTTCTACCATTAGTAATGCTGACATTATATCGTCTTTTTTGTGTTTTCCAATTTTCCTTTCCTTATTTCTTGGCCTTGGGATCCTAAAAGAATCAAAAATATTATTGATTTTCAGCATAACACTATCATTGAACAGTGAACCAGGATCGTAAGGTACACAGTGAACCGGTTCACTGTGTACTATGCGAACCTGGTTCACTGTTCAATACACACACTATTTAACTTATAATATTTAAAAAAAATAGGTTGTAGGCTAAATTGTTACAAAGCAATATGCTCATAAAACGTCTAAAACTACAACAATATCGACACCATAAAGCTTTTGGTGCTAGAATTAATAACAAAATATATAAAAATAGAGACACTTACGTGAGAATTCTATGTTTTTTTGGTGAGAAACAAATAAGCCACTGTCACACTTCACGCTCAAGTCGTGGCCACCGGTTAACTACGGGAGAGGGGAAGGGTGCCCACGAGAAAAGTTTTAACATGATCGGTCGAATTGGCAACCTCGCAATTTTTTCAACATCGTGGTGGTTCAATGTTCCTGGTTGGTTCACTGTACAACAACCGACCCTATATATGTGAGAATTGAGGCACTCCTCTGGATGACTTGATTTTTGGGGATCAAGTCTCCCATATTTAGGGTAGCATACAATACCACTATTAAGGACCTAAATAAGTATTAAAAATGTTATTTAAATATTAATTTATTTCCTCATTAGATTGGTAACTGTGAATTTACTTTTATTAAAATTATAGAGGCTATTTTTCCAGATATTTTATAAGAAATAATAATGAAATAAACAAGGTAATTAAAAAAAATTGAATAACTTATAATATAGATAATAATAATAAAATAAAATTACTTGGCAAATATAGAATTATTAAATTTGTCCAAAGTATAAAAACATGTTTTCAACAAAATAGCTCTAAACTTAATTTTGAAATATATATATATATATATATTTATTTTTTATACAACTTAAAATGGCAAATAAGCTGACGGCCCACCTGCAATGCTATTCACTAAAAATCTACCGCAACGCTGCGCCCGCCGACGAGCTCTAGGCTGATCAGCCTTGCGAACGACCGTGGCTACAGCGCTGCGGTAATTGGTATTCACTAACGTGTCAAACCTCATCGACGAACTGTAGTGCTATTCTCTAAGCAAACAGCCTAGACATCAGCCTTGACGCAGCGATGAAATATTGAAATGGTATTCACTAATTCTTAAGACGCGACACTAGCGCCCAAAGACGAGCTCAAAGACGAGCGGCATAAACGGGAACTACTCAAGGCTGTGCGATTTGACATTTTGCCATAGTATTTGGTATTCACTAACAAAAATCAGCCTCGCCTTCGCCGACAGCCTAGCCTACAGCCTCGATTTCTTATGTCAAACTCAAAAGCTTTGTTTTCTACGCTGTTTGCATAGTATTCATCTAATATATTTATTTGTTTCTTGAATTCTGTGATTATTAATTGTATTGAAATTATCAATTTGTGTTTAAAAACGATTGCTGCCCGTTTATGTGTAATGACCCATTTGTTGAAAGAAGCTAAAATAGAAAATGATTGTAAGAAATGCCGACAATCAACAACTTTATGTGATGTGGATTATATTCATCATTACCGACTTTCTGAAGAATTAATCAATATGTTAGAAAAAGAATTGTCACCATGTATGCCTGTTCCAGAGAGTTGTTAAAGCTAAAGGTTTGTAACTTAAATTTTATTAATTGATGGTATTAGGTACATAAATAAATTTAAAGCAGGAAAAAGAATACTTTGCAGTGATTGTGTGCACTTGTTTATTTTATTGAGACAAGCTTAATTGTGTCAGCAGATGTTTGTGTAGGGAACAACTAGCTAGTTAATAATGGTGTGTAACAAGTATTCTAGTATGCATAATAATACTTCTGGTGTTACAAATATTCATGGATCATGGTAACCGTTTCCCATTAGGTGATCCATAAGCTTAGTGGCCTCTGGTTTTGTATAAAAATAACTATGTCTAATATGTTAGAAAGAAACCAACTTAGTTAAACATGTAGTAAATTATTAATTCATGTCAATTAATTTTTGTTAAATTAGACCACTAAATTTAGCATTCAGGTTGAAACTATTATAAAAAATTGTTTCAAAATCATAGTTTTAAAAAACATGACACACATAAATTCAGGATTGGCTATGTGGCTAATTAAAAATAATTAACATTACTTGTTTTTTTTTCAGGTGATTTTGAAACTCATTTAGTAGCATGACACAAACCCTTGGACAGCCACAATAATAGTAGTGTATTGCTGTATTGTTTGTGATATGCTGATAATATGATGCAGTTACATCATCTATACAAAATGAAGAAGCACAAAAGAAAATTTTGTAGTCTGAAAATAAGCTAGCTATACTTTTTGTACTTATATCTTAAAACTATTTTCAAATACTTTTTTATTGTTACATTTTTGTCTACCTGTGAATTAAAATTAATATTATATTATGTTGTAAATGTATATTTTAATTTAAAATTATTATAATTAATTCATATTATAACTAGTATGGAGTAAGAAATTAAAAAAAATATTCATTAAAAATTATTTATTTGAAATTGAAACAAGTTTATAATTATAAAATTTTATTGTAATTGTGTTTTTATTTGAAAATTATATAAGATGAAACTTATATTTCAAAATTACTAATGACTATTAAATGACATAATTTAATCTTATATTTTCAATAATGAACTTGATTTAACTAATAATTCCAATAACTCTTGTTATGTTTGGCAGTGTATATTTTTAGAAATGTATTATTGTAAAATCTATTAGTATTTTAAAAACCAAAATTGAGGTTTCTCCCCTTCTTCACAATGGATGGTAGAATCATAAAGAATTACCATTTATAATATTTTAAATTTAATTGAATAAAAATTATTTGACATTTTTTTAAAAAAATTTTAATTAAATCGTACAATGGCTGACTTTAATTTAGTCATATCTCATTCATTAGCTATAAGATATGAACTAGTGTTGTCTGATTCTCTATCAAAATTTGTTCTGTCTCTACTCGGTGCTCTTCAGTGGCAACAAATCTTTGTGAGACTACTCTCTTTCTAGTTGAGGCTGCTATTGTGAAGGAGATAAGTGTCATCGGGATACTGTCAGTCAAATGACGGCGTGGACCTAAAAATAACAATAAGACCAATTAGACACATAATTCTAAAATTATAAATTAGTTATTTATTTAAGATACTCCACAAAAATATAATTAATCCTTTTTTCTGTTCGTGTATGTCCTGTCACAAGCCATGTCTGATTCTTTATATAATCCATCAGCATCTCCGACTACTTTGCGAAGGGACCTCATTTCATGGCATATTACGAGATATGCATTTATTTTAGTTACTAAAAATATAACCTTAAAAACAATACAAGTAAATAAAAAGCACATTTTACTTACGTATTTGATAGATACATCCAAACTTATAAAAAGTTGGTAAAGTTACGTTAATTTTATTAATTATTTTTAAAAGAGAATAAACAAATACAAAAAGTGCGCCTCTGGAATGTTAAGTACAAGGAATATAATACTCTCTACGTACCTACGTATAAGTGTTATTTGTTTATTTTACGGCAATGGAAGCAAGGGTATTCAAACAAATCTTAACTTTAAAAAACAAAATCAAATGTTTGATGTATAAATTTATGTTTATTTTATATAATATTTATTTAAATAACATTCTAAACTGAATAAAACATTCCATTTGTCAATAAAATATTATATTTCTACAGTTATCGGTTTCATTTTACGGTTTTTGTTGCAAGCCCTATCTCGTCCGTGCGCACAGCCTCGAGTTATCACAGCCTACAGTTCGTCGATGAGGTTTGACACGTTAGTGAATACCAATTACCGCAGCGCTGTAGCCACGGTCGTTCGCAAGGCTGATCAGCCTGGAGCTCGTCGGCGGGCGCAGCGTTGCGGTAGATTTTTAGTGAATAGCATTGCTGTAGGCTGTGATAACTCGAGGCTGTGCGCACGGACGAGATAGGGCTTGCAACAAAAACCGTAAAATGAAACCGATAACTGTAGAAATATAATATTTTATTGACAAATGGAATGTTTTATTCAGTTTAGAATGTTATTTAAATAAATATTATATAAAATAAACATAAATTTATACATCAAACATTTGATTTTGTTTTTTAAAGTTAAGATTTGTTTGAATACCCTTGCTTCCATTGCCGTAAAATAAACAAATAACACTTATACGTAGGTACGTAGAGAGTATTATATTCCTTGTACTTAACATTCCAGAGGCGCACTTTTTGTATTTGTTTATTCTCTTTTAAAAATAATTAATAAAATTAACGTAACTTTACCAACGTTTTATAAGTTTGGATGTATCTATCAAATACGTAAGTAAAATGTGCTTTTTATTTACTTGTATTGTTTTTAAGGTTATATTTTTAGTAACTAAAATAAATGCATATCTCGTAACATGCCATGAAATGAGGTCCCTTCGCAAAGTACTCGGAGATGCTAATGGAATATATAAAGAATCAGACATGGCTTGTGACAGGACATACACGAACAGAAAAAAGAATTAATTATATTTTTGTGGAGTATCTTAAATAAATAACTAATTTATAATTTTAGAATTATGTGTCTAATTGGTCTTATTGTTATTTTTAGGTCCACGCCGTCATTTGACTGACAGTATCCCGATGACACTTATCTCCTTCACAATAGCAGCCTCAACTAGAAAGAGAGTAGTCTCACAAAGATTTGTTGCCACTGAAGAGCACCGAGTAGAGACAGAACAAATTTTGATAGAGAATCAGACAACACTAGTTCATATCTTATAGCTAATGAATGAGATATGACTAAATTAAAGTCAGCCATTGTACGATTTAATTAAAAAAAAATTTAAAAAAATGTCAAATAATTTTTATTCAATTAAATTTAAAATATTATAAATGGTAATTCTTTATGATTCTACCATCCATTGTGAAGAAGGGGAGAAACCTCAATTTTGGTTTTTAAAATACTAATAGATTTTACAATAATACATTTCTAAAAATATACACTGCCAAACATAACAAGAGTTATTGGAATTATTAGTTAAATCAAGTTCATTATTGAAAATATAAGATTAAATTATGTCATTTAATAGTCATTAGTAATTTTGAAATATAAGTTTCATCTTATATAATTTTCAAATAAAAACACAATTACAATAAAATTTTATAATTATAAACTTGTTTCAATTTCAAATAAATAATTTTTAATGAATATTTTTTTTAATTTCTTACTCCATACTTGTTATAATATGAATTAATTATAATAATTTTAAATTAAAATATACATTTACAACATAATATAATATTAATTTTAATTCACAGGTAGACAAAAATGTAACAATAAAAAAGTATTTGAAAATAGTTTTAAGATATAAGTACAAAAAGTATAGCTAGCTTATTTTCAGACTACAAAATTTTCTTTTGTGCTTCTTCATTTTGCATAGATGATGTAACTGCATCATATTATCAGCATATCACAAACAATACAGCAATACACTACTATTATTGTGGCTGTCCAAGGGTTTGTCATGCTACTAAATGAGTTTCAAAATCACCTGAAAAAAAACAAGTAATGTTAATTATTTTTAATTAGCCACATAGCCAATCCTGAATTTATGTGTGTCATGTTTTTTAAAACTATGATTTTGAAACAGTTTTTTATAATAGTTTCAACCTGAATGCTAAATTTAGTGGTCTAATTTAACAAAAATTAATTGACATGAATTAATTAACTACATGTTTAACTAAGTTGGTTTCTTTCTAACATATTAGACATAGTTATTTTATTACAAAACCAGAGGCCACTAAGCTTATGGATCACCTAATGGGAAACGGTTACCATGATCCATGAATATTTGTAACACCAGAAGTATTATCATGCATACTAGAATACTTGTTACACACCATTATTAACTAGCTAGTTGTTCCCTACACAAACATCTGCTGACACAATTAAGCTTGTCTCAATAAAATAAACAAGTGCACACAATCACTGCAAAGTATTCTTTTTCCTGCTTTAAATTTATTTATGTACCTAATACCATCAATTAATAAAATTTAAGTTACAAACCTTTAGCTTTAACAAATCTCTGGAACAGGCATACATGGTGACAATTCTTTTTCTAACATATTGATTAATTCTTCAGAAAGTCGGTAATGATGAATATAATCCACATCACATAAAGTTGTTGATTGTCGGCATTTCTTACAATCATTTTCTATTTTAGCTTCTTTCAACAAATGGGTCATTACACATAAACGGGCAGCAATTTTAAACACAAATTGATAATTTCAATACAATTAATAATCACAGAATTCAAGAAACAAATAAATATATTAGATGAATACTATGCAAACAGCGTAGAAAACAAAGCTTTTGAGTTTGACATAAGAAATCGAGGCTGTAGGCTAGGCTGTCGGCGAAGGCGAGGCTGATTTTTGTTAGTGAATACCAAATACTATGGCAAAATGTCAAATCGCACAGCCTTGAGTAGTTCCCGTTTATGCCGCTCGTCTTTGAGTTCGTCTTTGGGCGCTAGTGTCGCGTCTTAAGAATTAGTGAATACCATTTCAATATTTCATCGCTGCGTCAAGGCTGTCTAGGCTGTTTGCTTAGAGAATAGCACTACTGATAGAAAGTGGTAAGCGTCGCCTATAGACATTAGCAGTACCATGGACATAACAGTACACTGTTTCGCCTATGATACCTCCCATGCGTTGCCATTCCTGAGGACTCAGGTGTTATTCCTCTGTACCCAGTAAATTCACACCATATCCCACCCTTCAAACCGAAACACAGCCATGCAAACACAACTGCTTCATGGTTGAAACACGAATGGTTCAAAAGTTCACATAAAGGTTCAAAAGGCCATCTTATTCCTAGGGCAATCTCTTACAGATGGCCTTTGGTTATAGGAGTCGATTACAATTGATAATTATAATTGACCATATTAAGGTGATCTATGTTTACTTCATCCCTGAGGTTTCATAATGCATAACAAATTGGGTTATTGAATTCTCGATTGCAGTTATTTAGGATTTAAAGTTCAGATAAGAGTATATATGCATTTTGAGAAATTTGATGCAGTCTTTCAATTTATTGTTTTAAAATTTTATGAAAAGTTGTTGTATTTTATACTTTACTGTTGTTTTGAATAACCTTCGTTTTATCCAGGTTAATTTTTCAATTGTTTACTGTGAACCAGCCATTGAATTTGTCCGTGCCATATTAATTTCAGTCTGCGGCTCTTATGTATTGTTCTTCGATACTCCAACACTGTACCTGTTCAATAACTCGTTGTAATGATGTCGTATTAACCCGCTACTGGTGATGTCGAGTTACGTCATTAGTGACGGCGGTCTCACGCACCGGGATTCTCAACTTAATTTTTTTCAAGAATTAACTATTAACTGTACTCGTAGTTGACTTAGTGTTAAAAGTAGGTATACTTTGGACAATAAAACACAGGTATATCTTAAATCACAGATCATTTATTAGAAATTATTCATTGGTACTTGGAACACTTAAAATTATCAAGTTTTAATATTACTTTTCTAAAATACAGAAACATAAACAATCTTATAGTTTTAAAATTATATAGCAGCCTCAGCCAGTCTTATGACATTTTGAACTATTATAAAATTGAATAAAAAAGTTAATTTTTTAATAAAAAATAAAAGAAATATCTTTACAAATTCACTCTTCGTCACCAGTCAAACAATTACTACAAGAAGGCACCACGTGCTCGAGACACAAATATTTTTTACATTTATGACAAGTGTACTTGGTTTTTCTGTTTTTTTCTTATAACGTATGTTTTCTTATAACACCGACCATTTCTTGAACGACCTGCCATCTCGGTAACCTCGTCGATCTTCAAAATTTCGGAGAGTCGTTGTCTCAACGAACGCGGCAAATTCAACTGTGTCTGTCTTTCTCTTATATGAGGCTCAATTAGTTTCATGGCCAAATTTTCTATAAAATGCCGGCGTAGAGATTTTGAATTTATTAGCTATATATATAACCTGACTATTTATGGTACTGACATTCAACATAGCGTAAAATACTACCATAGGCCAACGTCTTGTGGCACGGGCACAGTCGTAATTTGCACATAAACGATCTACGACATCGACCCCGCCCTTGGTGTCATTGTAGCTTAAAATTATATCGGGTTTTCCTGTTTCGACATCAATTTTGGCATTATTGTGCATAGTGCTAATCAGTAGAACATTTTTGCCTTGCTTTGGAATGTGTGAAACCAACACTATATTGTCGCGAAAGCCAAACATATTGGACTTCACACTTCGACCACGCAATACATTAAAGTCAGGGGGAATCTCCTTTTTGTTCTTTCTAATTGTTCCTACTGTCGTAAGACCTCTCTGAAGCAACATTTCAGCCAAAGGTACACTAGTGTACCAATTGTCAGTTGTGACGTTGCGACCAGTATTGAAAATCGGTTCGCATAATCTTTGAACAACTGCTAGGCCACTATTGTCAAAGTTGTATGGACCTTCATTGGGCTGTTTTCCCGGATAAATTTCCATGTTAAATGTGTAAAACATTTTAGAGTCGCAGAGAGCTTGAATTTTGATTCCGTAGGGATTGGGTTTATTCGGGATGTACTGCCTAAACGAACACTTCCCACGAAACGATTCCATTTTTTCTTCGACCGTCACAAATGCAGATAAGGTGTAATTATTTTTGCAATTTTGGACAAATTTTTCAAATATTTCTCTAATATGACAAATTTTGTCTATTGCTTTTCTTTGTTGCCTCAAACTACCATCATCAAATCTCAATACTCGCAGCAGAAATTGAAATCTCTGGGCAGACATAGAAAGCCGAAATATTTCAACCGAACCACCATCCGTCCGAAACAACTCTTCAACATTCAGATGGTTAGATTTTTGTACTCCAGCTAATAGTATCAATCCCATCAAGCACTGTATCTCGTTGAGATTAGTCTGCCTAGCATACGTTTCTCTGGTATATTTATGTCGAATGGTGTCAATGTACTGGTTCGTATACTTGACAATGATATCAATTATGGTGTCGTCAAAGAAGTGCCTCCAAATACTCAGAGATTCCTTTTCACCTGCAATAACCCGTTTGGGTTCTGGTAACTGAGATATAATATTGTATTTTCTAGTACGGACTGATTGACGATAGGGTTCTTTATTCCACCTAGTAGATTTGTCTTTTCCCAAATAATATGAGTTGTCGTTACTTGAAGATTCTCGATCGCTTAGATCCTCTTCGCTCTCCGAGTTTTGTATTTGATCTGGTGCGGAATATTCCGATGCGTCATCATTTCCAGCTTCGCTGTCTGACGACGATGGTGATCCGTCATCTTCACCTAACAATTCTTCCTGTAATAGAGCCTCGAGACGTCTCTGTTCGCGTTCGTAATTCATTCTGTATATATATGTTTTAATACTATCGGGATAGTATGAAAACTCGAGACGTGTGCCCGCTACAACGTCGCGGGGCGAACTGACAGCAAAGGGCGTCCAATAAAGCAGCTACTCAAAATCACGACAAAATTCAATGGCGGTTGTAAACGTTATTATCGTATGACTAACTACCCGGTCTCACAGACACATACGTCACCAGTGGTGGGTTAATATAACTCGCTAATATATGTTAAATTTAAGCATCTGTAAATTTGGCGTTACCATAGAAAAAAGAAAACAACTAGAAACTAATCTTTCTCTTTTTCATTTACTCAATCTGAACTTTCTTATAGACAGGGAGCTAGAAGAAGTAGAGTGTATAAAATATGAGGATCACATTCTGTGAATATTTTTGAATTTAGAAAAGCTTTTAGAATATGATTCTGGAGGTAGCCTAAAGATTTCAAAGTATGTTTAATGGGACGTATGTTTATATGTAAAGATTCTTCATCAGAACCATTCAAATCTTAAAAATATATCTCTCATTTCTGTTAATGTAAGTTTTATTGTCTGTGTCAGACGCCTTGTATACCCTAAATACCAAATAATAGTTGCTATGTGAGCGCAACAACCTAAAGTTCGAGCCCCATTTTTGCAGGTATCAGAATGCATTAAATCACTAAATGTTCTTGCCATGATGGCTTAACATTTTTCCAGAGAATTGGCCGCTCAAAGTTTAAATTTTTATCGTTACCACCGTCACCCCGAGTTTGTGCTCTAGTCGCAAAGAAAATTACAGTGCCCTATAATATTTCGCAAATAAATTATAGGCGATATTTTCACAAATAAAAGGGGTTCCTGCCACTCGTCATGGCCCAGAACCCATACTATCCGGGACACGGTGCTCTAAACTGAAATTGATATTTTGAGACATTAATATATATCAAAGATCTTTTTTTTAATAATAGTTAGCAGCAGTAATTTTTTTTAGAAAAGATGGATGCAAATCGCTTCTGTAATTGCCTTTGGTATAGTGGCAATCATTTGAAAAGCTTTTCTAAATAATGAAGCTACATCATTTCATTTCATTGTCCGATGGATCATTTCAATTCAGATTTCATTAAAAGATCTTGTTTGTTGTATGCTACTTTAAAAGGACCAAAGATGGAAACGTCCAAACGAATTCAATGAGATCCGTGCAGTGGTAATGACAGCATTGTAATGTCGTTTATTTTACAAAACTCAAACGTATTTAAAGAGATTGTGACTGCAATGATTATTTAATATGAGCTATATGGAGTCATCCTTTGAAGAATTAGTTAATATAAATATAAAAGAAATATTTAACTGTTATAAAACTGTCCTCCAGTAACGTCCAGTAAAAATATGGCAAAAGTCGCAAATATGCTGGTTTGATAGCTCTGATATATTTGCACAAGCTTCGAGGACCCAGATCTTACAATTTCCACATTGTATCCAATCTTCCTCATGAGATTCCAGATGTTTTGATTATTAAATGAAAAATAATTCTTTAGTAATATTATTTATTCAAATCTGACAGGTGATCCACTAGATAATCAAGATACACAACATCTCCTGTGTTGACATAAAGATAAACAAAATTTAAAGAAATGAACATGAATTTATATAAATGAAATGCTTACATTCTATTTAGTATAATTTAAAATTAACATTTAGTTTAACAGGTGGTCAGACAACACGGCCGGACCTTGTTCTCATAGTAGGATTACCATCAATATTACAAGACATTGGTTTATTATTAACATTAAGAGCACCATTCGACTGGATTTGTGAGTGGTTAGAGACATCATTTACAGTATGATTTTGGTACTCAGATGGCAAGACTATTGCTGATGTGCTGTGATCAGGTTTTTGAATATAGCTTTGACTTGACCGAGACAATGCACCATCATGTGACTGATTGATGAATGATTTTGTTTTGACCCAGAAACCTGACTTGACATAGGAATAGGTAGACTAGAATATTTATTTGTTAACAAATTGGTTTCATCTGACAATTTTTTCTGTAATGATAGGAATGACCGTTTTAAATTTTTATTATTTTGTTTCAGTATTTCATTAGTATTTTTATTTAAACTTAAATGATAATAATTTCTCCTATATTGAGAGCCATCATTACACTTAATTAAATATGAGCTTGAACAATTACTATGTCTATGACTATACTTGGTGACCAATTACTATTTCGAGTTTTCTTATACCATATGTAATCACCCTTGTTCAATGGTGTTAAATCTCTTGTGCGTTTATCATAATATTTTTTATAGTTTTCTTTGTGCTTCCTTAGTTTTTCTTCAATATCTTTGAAATTTAAAATTTATAAATTCTGCTCGACTGAATACTTTTTGTAATGTTGCTACATGTGAAGCTTCATCAGTACTATAAACCAAAATATCATCAAAGTATATTATTACACCCGGTATGTCTGAGAATGCTTCTACAAGTGTTTTACTAAATATTTTAGTTGAACAATTAAGACCAAATGGTAATCTTCTAAATTTGTATCGACCTAGTGGCGTGTTAAAAGTGCAAAGGTCTGAACTCTCAGAATCGAGAGGTATCATCCAAAAACCAGCAAAAGCATCCAGGTGTGAAAATATTTTAGCCCCGTGTAATTTTGATCTTACATCCTCAATAGTTGGCAAAGGAAAATATGATCTTTGTATTGTCTCATTCAGGTTTCTAGGGTTTAAACAAATTCGAAGTTTATTATTAGATTTTTTTACAATAACAATAGAACTAACCTATTTAGTGAGTTTTGACACTTTCTCTATTACATTCAGTCTTGCTATCCTGTCCAGTTCTTCTTTCAATCTGTCTTACAATGCAAATGGAATTCTACGTTGAGCATCAATCTTTGGTTGTACGTCAGGTAAGACAGTCAAATGACACTCATAGGGTAAACAACCCAGGCCCTGAAAAAGGTTTTCATATTTAATTAATAAAGTTTTTAAATTATCAGGCTGACTAGTTAGGAAATTGTTAAATATCTTTTGAACAATTGCATCTATTAAAAATTTTAAGTTTACTATTTTAGTTTACCTGTTTTTTCAATCTTGTAAGAAAGGTGTCAAAGGAATCACTTTCTTATTTCAGCGTAAAAAAATTATGGCATTCTATTGCCAAATTCTTTTTTGGAATAATATAATCGTCAAAGGATTTCAAAACTAAGATATACGTAGACTTTTCTTTTTCGCTGAATGAGTTACATATATCCAGGCATTGCTCACCCATAGAATGTAGTAGAATGGCAATTTTTCTTTCATGCGAGCATGTGTCGAACTGCATAGCTATCATGTAGTTATTAAATATTTGTTTCCATTTTTGCCAAGATTGGACGACATCGCCATCTTGAATGTTAAATGGTTTTAATGAGTTTATATTATCATCCATGACCCAATTTTTTTTTGTACAATGCTATTGGATATTTTATTTAACCGTTGCCACTATGTTTTGATTATTAAATGAAAAATAATTCTTTGTAGTATTATTTATTCAAATCTGACAGGTGATCCATTTTATATTCTTCTTTCGATTTGTCCCACAGATGTCTTATTGGTCGTCGACCATTGATAATTAAGATACACAACACCAGGCACAAAGGACAAGTTGTCAGTTCCTGAGTAGATTGATTATGTGGACGGTTTTGGTTTTCTTTGTCATTTCTGGATCTTTTGCTGACGTCTTTTCCAGAAAGCAAACTTTTGCCTTTTTTTTGCTGACTTAATACTTTTTTTATCTATTTTTTTCTGTTCCTGCATATTTTTATAGGGAGAATTTGTGTAAATATCGCTCCTCCCAGCTTTATGTTGTCGTGCAGAACTTCTTCTTTTCGAAGCGTCAGGAACTGGAGACAGTTTTATAATTACTGCTTTAAAATTTTCAACAGATTGATCTATGTTAACGGTAGTTTGAGATGGGGACAGGACAAATGAGCCAATTTAAGAAGAATTCAAAAGATTCATGTTGCGGAGAAGAAGGCAATCTTTTCTAACTGTCGAGATGTTGATCGTTGGTCTGATAGCTGAGAAGTCGAAGCTGTTAGTCCTGGCGTTGCAGACAGCGGAGCAGATAAAGCTATCAGCTCTGAAAATTCTGGCAATGGAGCAGTAAAAGCTGTTAGTTTTGACGTCTTTGGCAGCGGAACAGTTAACGTCATTGAAGGGATGGCTCTTAGGAATATTCGCCATATCCGATGCAAGAAAATCTAAATCACTAAATATATTCTTGTCAAAAGGGTGAATACCAGTACAACGAAAGCCATTGATGGCAATGTTCATGCCCTGCGATCTCGTATTCACTAATTCTCACACCAGGATTTGATTTCATCCATAAATAACATGCATCATTGTAAGCGGATTTGATTGGCTTTGTGGTGTAGGGCCCTTGATGACTCCTAAGCGCTTGTCACGTACGCACCGTACTCACTCATTTTAAAATCTCATTTATATATTTTGCTTTATATCATCTCATATTAAATAATTGAAGTTTTAGCGACCAAAGAAACTAAACGAGAAAAAACTATCGCCGAGGGAAAACTGTTGTTCTCACTTCAACCCCCTACAAAATTGAGCTAGAAGAACGAGAACAACTTAAGAGAACGAAGAAGTGTTCTAATTCAAATGACCCCAAGTTAAAGAAGAACTCTAAGAAACAGAAGACCCAAAAAACTCCCTCTGGAAAGAATATCGACGAAGATACCATGTGTCTGTACTGCCTTGACGTAAACCACACTTATTTAAAATCTTCGGAAGGTTGGGTGGCTTGCCAACTATGTGGACGGTGGGCTCATACAGCTTGTGCTGGTGTAGATGACGACAATACAGAAGAAATCCATATCTGCGTGTACTGTGACGCAAAATAAAAACATACCCCATACTGCCCCTACCCTGGGGCACGATGGGGTTTTCATTATAGTTTCAAAAAATTGAAATTATAACGTCATATGATTATTTTCATCACCAAATTCTATGCCAAAT